GCGGGCATTGTACGGGCGGGGACCCCGCGCTGCCCTTGCGAGGGTGCGGCTCCACGGTTCACGGCTCCCGTTCAGCTGGTGGAGGAGCGCGCAAAGATCTCCGCTCCATGTGTCCGAGAACGATCACTTCTAGGCCACCTAAAGACGGCCTGTTTTAGCTAAACCAAAAAACCAACACGTTCCAAATTATTCATGTGATTTTAAACACGGTCATGAACACAAGAGCCTCAAATATGGCACCCCATGCTCTGAACAGAAACTCCTACAAGACACTTTTAAACAAAGTCTCAACACGACAGATGCGATTTGCAGCAGATGACATCATATAGGCCATTTCCCTAGAGGTACCACATCTTTGTCTTGCAACTTCCATTTTTCATCTTGTACCACCCTGGTTAAACATAACACAACAAACCTGCCAGTCTCTAGCCTGTGCCAACATGTCTTTACAATGAGCCCCTTAGGTGAAGCAGGTTTTACACCCTAAAAAAAAAAAAAAAAAGATTTTTTCCAGCCACAGGAGACCCAAACCACCTGACAAAAGCCAGGTGTGTATCCCTGTTGAGTTTCTCCCTGCTTCCCCCAGGGTCTCTGGGCAGGCATACCATCCCCTGGACATGCAGGCAGCACCAGGGATTGGATTTCCTGAGAGCTGGGGGCACGGGATGTTCAGACCCTGCACACAGACCCTCTTCTGCCAGCCTGCACCCTGGACAGCCTCCTCCCCAAAGCCTACCCTCTCCTCGCCTGAGGACAAAAACCTCATCTGCTGCAAAGGGGACATGCTTACAGAGAGCAGCACTGGGAGTCTGAAAGTTTCAAAGATAACTAAATACCTAAGGCTCAGTCAATAGAAAATAGAAGTTTGTACTTAACCCCGTTTCTCATTTGCTGATCTCCTGCCTCTGGGCCACTGCTCCCTGATGTCCATGGGCAGAATCCTCAGAGGCACCTTTGGACGTGGTTCCAGCTCCTGCAGCCACAGCTGGGGTGCAGACGTTCCCGCTGCTGAAGGGCAGGTTGTGGTCAACAGTGGGACTTGGAGGCCCTTCTCTGCTGTCTTCCTGAAACAGGACACCTGTATCTCCAACAGGTAATTATTTTTAAACAGATTTCCTACTGCGGCCCAAACCAAAAATAACATGTTACTTTCTTACTCCCCTTTTTACATGGGTGCTGTTCACACAACTGCCACTTTTCAAGCCTGTGTGCTTGAAACAGCACAGGGATGCTTGTGTCCCATACTCTACTTCTGCTAGCAATTCCTACTCTTTTGATCTCTTCTGCCTGAAAATACCCATTTATTTGTGGAGAGCTGCCACAGAGGGCAGCACAGCTGTCCCCAACAGCTTTTGCCAGTAACCTGCAGGGACTGAACCAGTAGAACATGGAGACGACTGCCTGTGCCACCAGAACTGTACAAACATAAGAGCATTTTAAATTAATTTGGCTAAGTGGACTGGCCATCAGTATAACTGTACTCACACACACTCCTCGTGCCTACATGGTGAAATAGTTTTGCTTGGAGCTCCATCACTTTGAGACACATGGGTCACTACCCTTTTCTTTTGTAAGGCCTACATGGAAACATTTCTGATTAAATTCACATCTCTCTGTTTTCTTACACTGTCAGTAGCATGAAAACTTAAGACAGGTTTTGCTTTCAGGACAAACAGTTGTGAGCCACAAGAACACAACTGTTTAGATTATGCAAACCTCCTGAAAAATAGTTTCAGAAAACTGAAAGTAGCCCACATAGCCTATGAAAATGGGATTGGGCAGCATTTACAGAGATGCAGCTACACCAAGTCAAGTTCTGTAAACACATTTGGTGTGCAATAATTTAGAATCACAATAATGTCCCGTTAAAAATACTAATTTTTTTAAATTGAAATGCACTGTATAGCAAATACTAACTGAAGCATTCAAGTTTTAGAACAGATGATGTAAGAGAAGGCTATTAAAAAAATACAACCTCCATCTCTTTCTCAGTTAATAACCACAAGGGAGATGCAAAGCAATTCCTAGAGACTCAAAATGTCCCAGTCACTAGCTGTGGCTTGCTTCAGTCATATATGAAGTTAATTTTATTTAAAAAAAGATTAAAGAATTTAAACTTTCAGTAAATCCCTCCCCCTGAAACACCAAATCTGCAGTTTCCTTCCCAAATTCAGCCGAAATATAACTGGTGCTGCGTTGTTTTGTGGAGTCTACAGACACAGGTATTTAGTGAGGGTAAGTGGCAAACTGAAATTCAGAAGCTTTTCTCTATAGAATTTAACTACTGATTTGCTAATCACTGGAACAGCAAGTGGGACAAAATCAAATGCAACAATTCAGAGTTTGTACATAGGAGGAGGCATTTCTGAAGACAGGTACAAGAGGAAAGGAAAAAAAGGAATAGAGAAAGAAAGAAAGAGCAGTAACAATTGTTTAAAAGAAAGTTTATTTCCAAACAGAGAAAATAAAGGGAAGTACTGGAAAATATGTAACTATAACAAAATGTGTCGTTGCTATATAAGGACCACACTCATAAGCTCTACATATGTGCTGTTGTGAATTTGCATCAGTTGTTCTTATGCTGTAATTTGATGGGACCATAAATGGTTGTGTTGAAGATGATTTTCGCACAGAGTGTGTCGACTGTGCTATCCTGTCCACGACGACACCGCTGTAACTAGCGTTAGGAGGCCTGTACACAGCCTAACTAAAAAGCACTGCAGAGCCAACTCCCTCAGACATCACTGCAGGAGGAAAAGAGGCGAGTGGGAAGAGCTCTGTGGGTTTCCACTCCACCATACTCTTCAAGCCAAATTCATCCCAAAATTAATCTGAAGCTGATTAAATTGCATCTTTGAGCCTCTGTATATCTTGCAAACTAAAACTCTGATCCTCCAAATAAAGGTAACAGCATACAGCCTCATGTCCAGGCAATGCTGGACTGGTTTTCCTACAAATGTGAGTGGCTTAAGGGTTTTAAGGATATATTTGCAAAGTTGGCTTCTGTTTCTTTTTTTTTAATACTTGCTTTTAAATTCAAAAAATAAGTGTATCAATCTGGTGCACTGAAGATTGTGCTACCAGAAATACTTATCTGGAGCAGCACACACTCACTGACAAACAGCTGCTTTTAACTAGTTTTCAAGCTCAAGGAAAACCGTTGTTCCCTCTTTTGTGGGTAGCGGGGGAACACAAATAATAATGAATGGGAAAGAAATGGAACAATGGCCAATTTGTCTGCCAGAGGAAACTGCCACAGAAGTGGGTACACTGCCATCTTGTCAGGATTTCCTGCACTTACAAGTTCATCTGCAGTCCCCCAAAACCACTTTGATTAAATTAGAAGAGTTCTGCCAAGAGCTGGATGAAACAAATTCTACATCAGCCAGCATAGTTGTGAAACTATTATGAGTTCATCTTGTGAGAAGAGTAAATGGAGTGAAAAAGCGGAAGAGGAGGAAAGTCAAGTTGCTTATATGAGAAACAGAAACACTACAGCCACCTGTGCCAAGGCTGTTGCTGGAGAATGGAGAGCAGGGACAGATCTGTGTATTTTTTGGCTTTTCACATGGGTTTCAGCAGCTACCTATGGACCAGCGTGCTTGTCACTGGTGCCAGTGACAGTGTTCCAGAGTTCACACAACACCTGGCATGTGCAGGGTTAACGGGTCACTGTGGTAGTGTGCCAACAGGGAGATGTCTCTGTGCCACTGAGAGCTTAAAGGTGAACAGTTTAAAGATTATTTTTACCTGAGCTTGTGCTGCTAACAGCTGCTGTTAAGCTGGCAACCTCTTTTTCTTCATTACAAGGTCCAGAGTTGAATGGGTTCTCCCTCAAAGCTGGACTTTGTGTCCAAAGTCTGTAGTTGATGCCTCCAGTCCTTTTACTCTTTTTAGCCTATAGTCTACATGCAGACAGAGCATTTCTCAAGGATGTATTTACCCAGGAAGTGTAAATATTAACAGCCAGAGAACTAGGTGGAAAACAGAATGGGGAATTTGACAGCACCTAGGATGCCTCCCACAGTAAAGACAGAATTCTGGGCCCAAAATCTGTGAATATAAGGGAAGATCTGAAAATAACTCAGAAATAAGTCATAATATGCACATAAGTCATTAAAAAAGCACAGGTTTTGGCAGGCAGTCACATTCAATTCAGTATTCATCTGTGACTATGACTATGAGAGCTCGTACTCTTAACAGTTTTCAGTGACTCTCTCTTTGCCTGTATGTCTGCATCTTAAGAGTTGAAATCTCTGCTTACAAAGAAAATGGCAAAAAAATCTGTTCCTGAGAGTTGTATCCAGATCAGAAATTCCCTGCAAAACATCCTAAAAGTTGAAGAGAGAGAACAATTGCCATGACTGAAAACAGGTACAATTAGAATGCCCCATTCGTGTGCTGAAGTGAAGTTAAAATGATCAGAATAGAAGTCAAGATTTTGTATCTGCAATTGAAAACCTCAAAATGTCTAACACACAGAAACTACACAGTCACTACAAATTTACCAGTATCACTAACATTTTTCTTTTTTATCCTTCACGGAGCAAGCAAAACCATAAAAGAGGTACTCAGCCTTTTTTCAAATTTACTGCTATTCATTTTAATAATCTCTTATGCATATCATTTAAGGTAAGACATTTTGCAAACATTTTTTAAAGATGCAGGTAAAAAAGATTAAAGTGTAGTAAGGGTTTCAAGAAGCTCAGCCACTTTCTTCCCACTAATACCATCCTCAGGAACCTACATACATTCAAAATCTGTCTCTTACTCTCTTGAACATATCTGTTGAAAAACGAAAAGCAGCTAATCCTATCTGTCCCACAAACCATTCTTGTACTTTATGATTTTTCAGTCATTACAACCTATATTCAAATTTGCATTAGTTCTACACCAAAGCAAAAAGCCCACTGGAGATGCAGCTTTGGAACACTGTAATTTCTCCAGGAGCTTTCTACAGCCATGTGGTAGTTTGTTATGCAAGCAGACCTGCCTCACTATGATACCTGCTCAGAAGTCTCTCAGCCAAATACTACAGAATCAAGCAGTAACATGGTAGAGTCTAAAACTCCTCAGAAAAATAAGTAAAATACAGCAGCCAGTCAACCTAAACGCTGGTGAGGGATTTAAACAAAGGAAAGGTTAAAATGCTGAGGTTTTGACAGTAACATAAGATGTGCTTTTTTTGTTACAGAAAAAATTCCGCAAAATCACTTGTGCCCTGAAAGTTTAAATGTTTGGCCATTCCTTTGAGTAAAATGATTCAAATAATCTAAACAGAACAAAAATAATCCCTATAAAATCTCTTAGTGCTTCAGAACCTGAGATGGATGGCATTTAAGGGGGTCACATTCCCATCAGAAAGAAACATAGGCAGTGTAGGACAAAATGCTTGCTTGTTAATACAAGGTCGTATGTTTATTGGGATAATTAAAAGTCTGCTTTGAATATAACCCTCAGCTGAAAAAGTTTGGTATCACATTCCTGATAAGGTTAGGTGTCAGCCACTTACTGCTAATGGTGATGGTCTAATTAGACTGTTAGATTTTGCTTTGGCCAAGTGAACTTTACTAGCAGAACGAAAATTAGCATCAAAGTAATGTCAAACTGCTGGCAACACCTAAGCTACATTTTAAAACACACATTACAAGAAAAAAATGCTTGTTTCTATGCCTTATTTATAGTTTACTATTTATGACAAAAGAACTAGAAGTGGCTTTTGATTTTCTGGTCTCTTTTCAGAGGGGGTCCAAGCTTTGGAAGATTTTTATCAACAGAGCAAAAAACACTTTTGGGGGTCTGGAGTTCAAATATATACTGCTTTGCAAAAAAAAGAAAGAGTACCCTTACTATCAACAACCAGCTGAAGTTTGAATTTACGTATCTGCAAAGACAAGGCATATGTTAATTTTTATATTTTTCATAACAAAAATGATGCAGGCTGAATGAACATATTTTTAAAGTTCCAAACAACTGTGAAGTAATAGCTGAACAGGACACAAGTTACCCTTCATTTCCAGTCTCTTGAATACCTTACTGCTTAAGAAAATCAGTTTGCTTCCCACCCAACTATTAGTGAAATTCCATCTGTGCTATATTTGAAAATTACACAGACAATTTTCCAGAACATTTATTGTTTCCATTCAATGACAAACTAAGTGTGACTGGAATAGGTTTGTTATAGGGCATTTCTACATCTTAGTAAGCAGAAGCTATGGTCAACCTAAGGTGTGCAAACTGACTAACCTCAACTGCTGTAGTGCTGAAGTTGCCAGATTCAGAAACACTCTTGATCACATCCGAACTCCACACCATCTTTTCCTGGTGGCTAAATACGGATCAAGTAGCATCCTGTCCCTGGGGAAGGCTCCCTGACTGCACTCTGAGAAGTAGACAGCATGCAGAGTGATTTTTCCATGTTCTAGTACAGCATGATCATCACAGAAAACAAAGCATCCAGTTAAAAAGAATTACTCCCGGCAATATTTGAGGGTTAGGAGCTAGGGTAAAGTTTAGGAAGAACTGCCTTCCAAGCTCAGACATCTTGTTTATTTGGACTATCAGCTCTGTCCTTCTCTTGTGTGCGAAGCAGACACTACATGCCTTTTCTCCCATACTGCCTGAAAATCTCTGGTATCGGTCAGCTGATGGGTTGCTGAGATTAATTATACTGTCAGGGATTATGGCTGTTTACAATTTTGTTGTCAGGCTTCAGGATTTACTCATAAAAACACACTCTTCCAGAGTCAGCCAATTCATGTGTGCTTTGGCATTAGCTCTTTAGGTTAAAAACTGTCCTATTGTTATGCATAGTGTGTCTGCCACAATAGGTCATCAGCCTGGAGCACCGAAAATAATTGCCTCTCTCTTCTCACTATCGGGAGAGGCGTTGAACTACAGTAAAGAAAAGCAAAGCACACAGTGGTTGAAAACCTGTAGTAACGTTTAAAAGGGAAAAGTTGACTTAAAAGTCTAGAGAGATTTTGGTTTTATTCCTTTAAGGAAGTTGGTGTAGGCCTGGAATTCAAACCTGAAAGAAAAAATGGCTGGGAATGCTGAAAATGCGTGAGTCAATTTATAAGAGGAAGTGATATACTGATTTGCTTTACTTTATAGGATTCCTCTTTTTACAAATTACTTTCTTCTAATGTGCCAAAGCATTCCCTTTGAGACAGAACTTTCAAAAGAGGAGTAAAATCTATGGAGAAAGGATAGAGATTTCTACTGCCAAACACCCAATCCTTTCTGTCATATTCTGTTTCTTCCTCCTGAAATACTCTTCACCAATATTCTATCTAACCTGATCTTTTCCTGTCTAATCTCCCCTACAGGTCCTGCCGACATCAACACACAGCATCAGTTTACCAAAACAGCTTCTTCCACTCTGGTCCGAGTGGAAGCACGATGGAAAAAATCACACAGGTCTCTCCACTCTGAAAGCAAGTCTAGTACGAATACATCCCTCACAGCTAAGCTGCATGTAATCACCTCAGCTTGTCCTCAGACACTAAGCAGTCTAAATCAGTCTGGCTTATTTATTCAGCAAGTATGTTTTCCTTTATAGTGGTAGCTATCATAGCATAACGTGGAAGCACAACCTCTGACTTGGGAGTTTTGCAAGAATAACTGGTAAAATACCAGTAAGAGAATAATTTTAAAAATACTGCAGCTTTTCCTGACTGAGCTAGTTCTGAATGCCTTGCAGGCAAACGTACTAGTATGAAAGAGGAAAGAATACTCAAATTTTTACAGTGGTCAAAAAATGTCCTGGGAAATGAGAAGAAGTAAGAACTGAAGTTATTTCTTTGCTAAATCAAAACCACCATTCCAGACACCGTTTCCAGAAACTATCAGCAATGAAATTTAAGAAAAAAGCCCTTAAACATTCATGTCAAATGATACATCTTTAATTTCTAAAAGATGATAAGTACTAAGAAACTGATCTAGTTGACAGGCAATTAATCCTCCTTGCATAGTACATTTATCTCCATGGGATATCAAGAATTACAACACTTCAGGAAAATTGGCACCTAAGTGAGCAAGCAGCCTCAATCCTATACAAAAGTTACAATCTCAGTGTTTCCAAGGTTTACTCTGTAATGCATCCAGAGAACAATCTTTGCTTTGTCCACATCTATCCCACAATACTGTATTCTTTCACTGGACTTTTCAGTTGGCCATCTGTATGAAAAACATAAAAGGCTGCAACCCACACTGATACAGTAATTCACAATGAATTAGCTTCTTTCTATTCAAACTTGGCCTTTCTGAGGTCAAATACCTCATGGTACATAGTTAGGAACTTTATTTTTTTAAGGAAAATGTGTACCTCACAAACTTATAGAATGATTACTTGATTAACACTTCATCCAGAAGATGTTTAATCCTTCCCTGGAAAAGGTAATAGGTGAAGCTTCAGGTTCAGAAGTGCTCTTGACACTCATCTAAAATAAGCACTGAATCTTATATGAACCTCCCCAAATTTTGACTTGCTTAATAAGCTTACTAACAAGACAAGAATAAAGACACTTTTTCATATAAAAAAAAAATTAAGTTGCATTTTACTGTGTTAGACATATCTACAACGGATTTTCTTCCTTTACCAAATAAGTGAAGAGGAGCATTGTACTTACGTCAACATTAATTAATCCCTTTTTTCTAGTAGCCTGTGTCCTGATTTTCAAAAGCACTGATTATCAGCATATCCTAAGTATTGAATGGTAGCAGCAGGCACTCAGAACTGTTGAAAATAGACTATTAGCACTTGTACTTATGCTGCAAATGCAGATTTGAAAATATTCCTCTTGAAAACAAGTAGTTTATTTTTTAGTCATAATTGGTTGACTTATTACTATTTTAATCATTCTTGTAGTGTTTTAGAATGTTTAAAGTAACTATTAACACTAATTACTTAATACACTATAGTGGATTATGATCGAAATTAATGTCAAAAATTTAAGTTTATGATAAATAGACTTTGGAAAAATTTATACAAGGCCATAAATAAATAATTTTAACTTCAGTCTCATTAAAAAGTAAAACAGTACGTCACACAACAATATCATCCTATCTAGACAATACAATCTTGCTATATTTTATTGCATAATAATTTGAGAGTATCATCTTAAGTAAAACATGTAAAGAAACAAAATCATTAGATTTATTTCCTTTAATATTGAACAACCAAAGTTTCTTCTTTGTACATAATCCAATTTAAAGATAATATGGTTAGCACTTCCAGCATTAACAGCCTGTATTTACAATGAATGAGATGCGGTGGATAATCTAAAGAGTACTCAAAAGCAAATCAAAATTCGAAGATTTACAGTAGGCTCAAAATCCAAGACTCTTCCATTTATGGAATGCAATTTAAAAGGCTTTGTCATCCTTATTACTTGTAAGGGTTCCTGAAATGATTATATTTAATGGTATTTTTAACATTTGAAATCTTCTGTAATGCCTTCATTATTTGTACATGACATTAAAAATGAATTCCAATGCTTCTATTTAACTTTTCACTTGCTTGTAGACCAGTCTGAAATCTGATGAAAGTATAACAAGGAAATTTACTATATAATCCTAATTCCATATTCCTGAATATACAACTGTTGGAAGTAGATGGTGTCAGTCCATTCCAAGGGTTATGTACACAAAACTTACAAAATGTTCTTTGCTCTTGCATAAAATGTGTACACAGTATCAATGAGCGGAGAACTTCAAAGTTTTTATGGGTTGCTGCTGGCATGGACCTTTGTTGATTGAAAATAAAATACCTTTCACTCTATTGTTCTGGTAGCAGTTTTAGAAGTTAATCATCAATCCCTGGTGTTTCACCCTGTTGTATTCTGGAGGCTATTCTAATGGCTTCTTCCAGAGACTGCTGCTCTCCAAGCTGAAACAAATGCATTTAAATATAAATAAATCCGAAATGTTACATATGGATATAAATGTGTAAAAAACAGAAACAAAAAGATGAAACCAAAGATATGGAAACAGATCAATACTTTAGTGTGAATAAGTGTGATCAATAATGTCACACCTCTCCTGGGTAATATATACTAGCACCTATCTAATCAGCATGACAATTAAGATAGCTTCTGATAGCAGATTGAACTGAGTTTCTATGTATCTACCGAATACATTTTCTTCAAAGAACTGCATGGTAAACACATTTCATGACATACAAACTAGATGATATTTCAACTTGGCAGACATAACAAAGCTAAGATAAAGCTTTCAAAAGCCATGGTGGCTGTTGTATTACTGTTTAACACTGGTAAAGCAAACAGACATCTTCATTTTTCTTAACTCTCTTGCAGAAAGTCAGCTCTTTGGAACACCATATGACAATGTATATAAAAAGTGTCTACTTATTGCAGAATCCTGACTATATAAAAAAGCAGTCATGATGACACTGTTCGATTCTACAGTAGTTCAGAGAGGAAATTATCTCGTAGTTGCAACTACAAAGCCATCGGTGTATCTGGCGCTGTCAGAAGCAACATCAACCGACTCTGAATAAAGACAATTGGTCACAATTTTGGGAAAGACTCCATGGAGTTTTATAACATATACACCATGAACATACATCCAGTGATGGGGACACTGAAGACAACCTCAACCTAACAAAAACATAAAGCTGGCCATTACCTATTAGCTCGGGAGAAAGATGTATGAGAGTGTGAAAAGTAAAATCAGATTATTTGACAAATGGGTAGACCTAGTCGGACAGTTCTAAATATCACTTGTAACTTGTTTTTACAGTCACTGGATATCACATTCCGGAGCCACTCAAATCCAGAAGAGATCTGTTACCACCTCCTTAGGACTTCAATCTATCAGGCTACTGGCTTTAACAGTATTTAGAAAACAAATGGATTCATTTGCTAGTATCGAAGTAGAAAAGAGAAACAATCAAGAACTCAGGAAGAATCAACAATAATTTAACTTTGATTTCTCTCTCTTCTGTTTGTATTGTATATTTTAAGTTTAATTAATATAAAGATACTTCACCAAAAGCTTCAATGCTGGTAACAAGAGAGGGGCATGTGCAGTGTGCCTATGTTTTCCTTTAATTCGAAGGACACAATGCTGAGGGGGCAAGTTACTTTTTCTTCCTTCCTCTCATGCAGACAATTGGCTTATGATATGCTTTCCCTTACATGCAGTTTTGATTACTGTCAACTTAGCTCAAAAGACAAGAATTCAGAATTAAGAGTTTCTTAACTATTAGCATCTGACCTGCTATTTTGCATTTAACAAAGGAGAAAATAACAATCTCTCATTTCTGCTTGAAGATATTAACACAATTCCTT